CCCCTTTAACATCGCATGGACCTCCACCAGATACTTTTTCATGCGCTCCTCCTTAGCTTCATACTCACCCCTGATTTGTTCAACCACGAGCTGAGAGTCCGAGTGAATGATCACCTGCCGAGCTCCTTCCTTCAAGACGAGCTGAATTCCCTTAATAAGAGCTTCATACTCCGCCTCGTTGTTCGACACTCTGAAAGACAGCTTAACCGCAAACTCCAAGTGATCTTTTTCTGGTGTGACCACCAAGATGCCGAGACCTGCTCCACCTACTGTCGACGAGCCGTCGACATACACCATCCAAGGTCCAGCCTCGGCCCCCAATGTGCACTCTTGTATGAAGTCAGCTAACGCTTGGGCTTTAATAGCTTCTCGCACCTCAAAGTGGACATTATATTCGCCTAACTCAACTGCCCACTTCACCATCCTCCCCGAGGCCGAAGGGCGACCTAAGGTGTCTTTGAGCGGGTAGTTCGTCCGGACCATAACCTTGTGCGCCAGAAAATAAGGACGCAACTTCCGAGCTGTAGAGATAAGCGCCAGGGCGGCCTTCTCCACGTCGGAATACCGACGCTCGACGCCTTGCAACACCCGACTAACATAGTATATTGGCTTCTGTTGTCCCTGCTCCTCCTTTATCAGTACCGAACTAATGGCTTCGTGTCCCACTGATAGATAAACGACTAATGTGTTACCTGGCTCCGGTTTTGTAAGTAAAGGGAGCTCAGCCAGAAACTCTTTCAACCTCTCGAATGCATGTTGTGCTTGCGGCGTCCACTCAAAACGAGATCCCTTCTTCAAAGCCCTAAAGAACGGAAAACTTTTTTCCGCTGATTGAGCTATGAACCTGCTTAACCGTGCTAGGCGTCCGGTGAGGATCTGCACCTCCCTCAAGTTCCTTGGTGCCTGCATCTCCATGACCGCTCGTACCTTCTCTGGGTTGACTTCAATTCCCTTCTCCGTCACTAGGTAACCTAGAAATATTCCCGACCTTACCCCGAACTTACACTTGGTCGGGTTGAGCTTCATGCCATACCGTCGCAAAGTATCAAAGGTCTCGCGCAAGTCTGCCACATGGTCACCCGCCTTCCTACTCTTTACCAGCATGTCATCAACATAGACCTCCATATTTCGACCTATCTGCCCTTTGAACATTTTATCTACCAACCGTTGATATGTGGCTCCCGCATTCTTCAATCCAAAATGCATGACGACGTAGCAATAAGTGCCCTTGGATGTCACAAAGCTGACCCTCTTCTGGTCCTCTTCGGCAAGAGGAATCTGGTGATACCCCTGAGAGGCATCCATCATGCTGAACAACTCGCACCCGGCTGTAGAGTCGACGAGCTGGTCAATACGTGGTAGGGGGTAATGGTCTTTAGGGCAAGCTTTGTTGGGATCCCTGAAGTCTATGCACATCCTCCACTTTCCTTCTCCTTTCTTCACCATAACTGAGTTGGACAGCCACTCCGGGAATTGGATAGATCGTATATGCCCCGCCCTCAACAGCTTCTCCACCTCAGCTTCAATGACCACATCTAACTCAGCGCCAAAATGCCTTCTCTTCTGCTTCACTGGTCTCACGGTTGGGTCGATGTTCAACCTGTGCTCTGCTACCTTGGGGCTGATGCCGGTGAGGTCGTCAGCCGAAAAGGCAAACACATCCACAAACTCTCTTAACAATGCAATCAGCGCGCCTTGAATATCGACCGCCAGATGCCGACCCACCTTGGTCGTCTTTGCAGGGCTCCCCTCTATCAATTCAACCTCCATCAATTCGTCCTGGGAGCTCATCCCCAATTCTTGTTTCTTCTCCCGGTGGGAGCACTCAGGTAAATCATCCCTCCTTCTCTTATTCTGTGCCTCAGCTGTCTTCAATGTGACCTCATAACACCGTCGAGACTGCAGCTGGTCTCAGTCACCTCGCCGACCTCATTCCCTACGGGGAACTTAATTTTCATGCAATAAGTTGAAATGGCTGCCTGGAATAAATTCAAGCTAGGTCGCCCCAGTATGATGTTGTAGGCCGAGCTAGCATCCACAACCAAGAAACGGACCATCTTCACCTTCCTCAGAGGCAACCTTCCCAATGCCACAGTTAAGCTGACTTCGCCAACGGGGCGAACCTCGCTGCCGCTAAATCCATAGAGAGCAGTGTGGACCGGCTCGACCTTCACGTCTAACTCCATCTGTTGTAAGCACTTCAAAAAAATGATGTCCGCCGAGCTCCCCGTGTCTATGAGCACCCTTTGCACATCGTAACTGGCCACCTCCGCAGTGATGACCAAAGCATCATTATGTGGGACAACAAGCCCCTGCACATCGTCAGCTCCAAACTCTAGAGTGGCCGAGCTCCTCTGTACCTGCACCTCGGCCACCTCGCTGGAAAGACCCTTTCCCCGGTAGGTCCTCTTCCTCTCTCTATGCGAATCTCCATCTGTAGGACCCCCCACGATCATGTGTATTATGCCCTTCTTAACCGGTCTATCAGGTTGCTCATCAGTCCTCCTCCGCTTGTCACCTGATTCACGCCCTTCACGGCGATCTTCTTGGCGCTCCCTATCCTTGATCACGAACTCCTTTAAATGACCAGCCCGGATGAGCCGCTCAATTTCATCCTTCAATTCTCGGCAAAAATTGGTAGAGTGGCCATAATCCCGGTGGTACCGACAATACCTATCCTTCGATGCCGAAAATTTTCGCGGCGGGGGTAAAGGCTTCGGCTGTGCGAGTAGCTTATCCTCCCCCCGTTTTTCCATCATCTCCAGTATCTCCTGTTGTGGTGCATTAAGTGGTTTGTAATGCTCGTACCTCGGACCCCTGAACCTATCCTCGACCTTAGCCTCCATAGGGGCAGCTCGTCGATCACCCTGTCGAGGCCTCTCATCTACCTGCTTAGACTTTGTCTTATCATTCCGAATGAAGTCTGCCTCTGATTCCTCCATATTCACATACTTGCTACACCTCTCCAAAAGCTCGTCAAACGACCTTGCCGGCTGCTTTGCCAAGGAGTCCCTTAACTTTTCTGCTCTTAGGCCCCGCGTAAGCCCTCCGGCCTTTACCTCCTCTGAGGCCCTAGGAACTTCCACGCATTCTTTAGTATACCGAGCCACATACTGTCGCAAAGTTTCACCTTCCCTCTGTTGCATATTAATCAGTGAGAGGTATGTCTTCTCATGCTTCCTAGCGCTTGCAAATTGATTCAGAAACAAGGAGCTGAACTTTTCAAAATTATCGATGGATCCTGCAGGCAGCTGGTGGAACCAATCCTGTGCTGAGCCCTTTAAAGTGGTCAAGAAGGCCCGGCAGCTGACTGCGTCACTATAACGATGCAAGACGGCTATATTGTCAAACGACCTTAGGTGCCGAGCAGGGTCTGTCGAGCCATCATAGGATAAGCTCAGTTCCCTGAAATTACTTGGCAGATCTCCTCCCAACACTTCCTCTGAAAACGGATGTCCACGTGACACTACCACCCTTCTCCCTTGTACCCGAGCTTGGAGTTCCTGCATTTGAGCTGCCAACCTCTCCAAAGTTAATCCCTCCTGCTGTACTACCAGGGGTCGAGATGTCGCCGACCTATCACCATCCTCATCCCCCTTTTCGCGCTGGTGCGTCTGGTGACGGTGCAAGGATAACTGCTGATGCATGGGCTGCCTTAACGATTCATTAGCTCGTCGATCGACCTCTTGAGCTCGCCCTATTGCGTCCGCTATGATCCTGTCCAATTCCGCCCTTGTCATATGTATCGTTTGATCTCCTCTTGCCGTCGAGGAGTTGCCTGGGGGGTTGGTTCCTCCCGCTAAGACCATCTGTTGATCGTTCGGTTGGGTGGTCTCCCCTGCCAAGACCATCTGTTGATTATTCAGCGGGGTTACCTGACCCGTGTTTCCATCAGGGACCTGGCCAACCTGACCAATTCCTCCACTTGTTGCACCGCCGCCGAGCTCCTTCTCCTTGTTGGTCAAGCCACCTGATTCTCCTGGGTTCGCCAAACGCCCATGAGCTCCTGGTGGCGGTGTCGGGGTCAACGTCTCCTTGGGGGTAGTAGGCGACGGCGACCATCCGGGCGGTGGCCCTGTTCCGAGAGCCCTCTTCGTCCACGCCTCATCCATATCCTTCGTCAAATTTTTCTTCAAGCTATCTCCTGCCATGATCCTCGTTACCCTCCTTCTTCTTTGGTGAGAAAAAAACAGCCTACGATACTCTGGTAGAAGACTGAGTGTCCCCACAGACGGCGCCAATTTGTTATACCACAAATACCTGAACCGCTCGACCGCTCCTCTTGAACCGAATTAAACCTTCTCGATCGCCGGTACCTGCAAAACACGCCGGGGGTGGTCCCGGCGTGGACACTCCGACGCTCAAGTCAGTGGTGGTGTTTCGGAGAGAAAACGGCAGAGTAACGAGATAGTATGTGTATGTGTGTTGTGTCAAATGAACAAACCTGTCCCCCTTTTATAGATGAGGTCTTGTACATGTCGTAGAATTCTTGTTGTTCTAGAAGTCTTTCCTCATACCTATCCACAAATTAGGTCAAAGATGCCCAGAACGTATGAGTCCTTATCACTACAAACTTTCACGCGACTCGTTCACGGAGCCATCGCCGAGCTCTAGTTGCCTCGGCAGAACCCTCTGGCCAAGCTGCCCAGGTGCCGAGGCGTCCAACTGCCTAAGTGCCGAGGTGTCCAGCTGCCTAAGTGCCGAGGTGTCCAGCTGCCTAAGTGATCCTACCCGCCTAGCCAGTCTTCCCATCATAACGATGACGACCGAACCAGACCGGTCTGAGGCGAACCCTTACTCATGGCCATATCACAAACCCACTCATTCTTTTATAATAGTATAGATATAGTTGTGTGAACAAAAATATTATTGTTGTTATTATTATTATTATTATTATTATTATTATTATTATTATTATTATTATTATTATTATCATTATTATTGTTGTTGTTATTATTATTATTATTATTTTTTTTTCAAACGACAGAAACTATATTTCATTCCACAGGAATAATAGGAAACAAAGCGGTCAAGAAACCGAGTCTTACACACTGAGAGGCCATACACATACAAGTGATGCCTAAACCAAACAAACCAAATTACAACAGAAACTCATATTACAAGACCTAAACTTCACAACCGAAGCCAACCAAAGAAAAAGATCCCCATGGCCATCTCATCAGCAGCTACAAAAGCACATTAACAAAACATACCAACCAACAGAAAAAATCCCAACACAAGGATGCAACAGAAATAAAAAAACATCAAGTTAAGAAGACACCCACTGACACTAGACCTAGGCTAATCTCCCCAACTTCTATTCAGTCCTCCATTGCTTCTCCTTTGAAATCCAGCCAGTCCCTGATTGCTGCTCTAAGGATCTCCCTCTCTGGTTGCCAGATCTTCTCAAAAAGCCAGAGATTGCGTGCCCTCCATAACCACCATAAGATGTATGTGGTCAGTTGTATGCGGTCTTCAGAAACATCATTCCCACTCATAGAGCTGAGCCACCACCACCAATGCTTAAACTGGAACTCCTCTTCTGGCAATTTGCTCCAACTCACAGGTGCTAATCTCCAAAGTAACTTAGCTCTAGAACACTGAAAAAGCATATGTTCCTGAGATTCAGTACCTTCTCCACACAAAGTGCAAACTGAATTGATATCCAAGCCCCTTCTCTGCAGATTCCCTCTAACAGGTAGGATGTTATTAAAACACCTCCATATAAAATGCTTGACCTTGGGCATAATTTTCAGCTTCCAACACCTATTTCTAGCCCTGCAATTTCCAACAGCCATCTTGCTACTTTCTGGTTCAGACAACAGACAAATCTTCTCTTTCATCAAAGACACATAATCAGCATGAACAGAAAATTTCCCTTTCACAGAAAACTTACACATCCATAGGTCCTCACCATTTGGATTTAACCCTCTTATTTTCAAGATTTCAGTAGCATCTCTCTCATGAAACAGAATTCTGATAATATTCTCATCCCAACACCTACCACCATTACACAGAAGATCATGCACTTTGAACAGAGATGAATCAATATTGACCCTTAAAGCTGGCTTACCTCCATTCAGACCAGGAACCCAATGGTAGTCATCAATATCTGTCTTGGCACCATTCCTAATTGTGATCTTAATATTCTTCAGCAATAAAGGTATCAGACCAGCCCAAGTGTTCCATAACCAAGAGGCACCATGAACTTTTTTGGCCTCAAAAATAGAAGTGCAGTGAAAGTATTTGTGCTTAAGAACTTGACTCACCAGTAGCTGCTTTTGGGAGCATATCCTCCATATCTGCTTCAGAATGAGTGCCTTGTTCATAATAGCTATATCTTGAAAACCAAGTCCTCCAGCATCTTTTGGTAATGATAATTTTTCCCAAGCCTTCCAGTGCATTCTAGGGCTGTGCACATCCCCTTTGCTCCACCAGAATTTTGCTATCAGTTTGGTAATCTCCCTGCAGACCCCACCTGGTAACACAAAACAGGACATGACAAAAATTGGGAGAGCATTTAAGACAGCCTTGACCAATATTTCTCTGCCAGCCACAGATAAGAATTTGTTAGTCCAGCTCCCCATTCTGTTATTCACAGCATCAATAACAAATTGAAATGTATCCCTCTTAGAAGCAGCTATCCCCAAAGGCAAGCCCAAGTACTTAGATGATCTCTTGACCACAACACCTCTAAGGAGGGAACACAACCTTGTTTTCACAGCATCAGAGCAGTTTTTACTTAAGAATAAAGAGGATTTTTGCAGATTGACTTTTTGGCCAGTAAAACTCCTATATTTCTGCAATATCTCCAAAATAGACTGGACATGCCACACATCAGCTTTACAAAACACCAACGCATCATCAGCAAATAAAAGATGAGTAATCATAGGCCCATGCTTAGACACTTTAACCCCCCTGAACACCCCATCTCTAACTTTCTGGTTAATGAGAGCAGAGAACACCTCAGAGACCAACAGGAAAAGATAAGGGGATAGAGGGTCCCCTTGTCTAATCCCTCTGGTTGGTGTAACAAAACCACAGATATTTCCATTTACATTAAAGGAGAATGAAGATGAAGATAAGCAGGCAAAAATCCACTTGATAAACACAGCATTGAAACCCATTTTAAACATAATTCTTCTGATGCTATCCCATTCCACTCTATCATAAGCTTTCTCCATATCCAATTTCAGAGCAAGAAACATATTAGGTCCAGATCTATGCCGGTTAAGAAAATGAAAAACTTCATGTGCAATAATCACATTATCCAGCAATAATCTTCCAGGAATAAAAGCATTCTGCTCAGGACTAATACACTCACTCAAACACTCCTTCAATCTGTTAGCCAGTAACTTAGCAATGATTTTGTACAAAGTACCACACAAACTAATTGGCCTATAATTAGAAAGAGAGGCTGGGTATAGACATTTAGGAATCAAGGTGACAACTGTATGGTTCCAATTTTTCAATAACATCCCAGATGAGAAAAAAGACTTAATGGCAGTACACACATCTTTAGAAATCAAGTGCCAAAAATGTTGAAAGAAAGATGCATTCATACCATCTTCACCCGGTGCTTTGTCAGGAGATAAGGAAAACACCACTCCCTTTATCTCTTCATCCTCAATAGGCCTGATGAGCATAGAGTTTAAATCATCAGAGATAGAGTGATTGATATGTTGCAGACAGTAATCCCCCTCCTGAGAGCCCTCCAAAGTAAAAAGAGTAGAATAGAAATCTGTGATGTGCTTGACCAGAGCCTCCTCACCCTCACACCTTTCCCCTGTCTGTGTAAGTAAGCAGTTGATTGTATTTCTCCTTCTTCTCTGAGCCACAGTAGCATGGAAAAATTTCGAGTTACAGTCTCCAGCTTTCATCCACATTGCTCTTGACTTCATCCTCCAAAAACTCTCTTCCTCTTTGAAAGCTTTATCTAATTCAGCCTTGGTGATATCCCATTCCTCCCAATTTCGATTACCTCCCTCCCCTCTCAACTCCTCCATCTTCGAAGTCAGCTTTTGAATTGTTTCCTCAGAATTCCTTTTCAATGGTTTTCTCCATTCCATCAAAGCCATTCTTGTGGACTTCACCTTCTGATGTACCTGGTACATAGGTGTGCCATCCATCTGGGTAGACCATCCTCTTTCAACTGCTTGGTTAACTCCTGCCAGCTTAGTCCATCTACCATCAAACAAGAACCTTTTTTTATTAAACACCACTTCCTTGTCAGTATTCAGCAACAAAACATTATGATCTGAAGCACATCTGAAAAAATTTGAGACTTCCATCTGAGGGAATCTACTAGACCATTCCAATGATGTAAAAACTTTGTCCAGCCTTTCCTCAACATACCCCTCAGCATCTCTATTATTACCCCAAGTGAAAAAAGCCCCCTTCTGCTCAGCTTCTTGCATCCCCATTCTCATAATGAAATCCCTAAATCCCAGAAAGCTAGATTCTGACCTTCTTCTTCCCCCTCTTTTCTCCTCATTGCTAATAATATCATTCCAATCCCCAGCCATGGCCCAAACATTGCCCCAGTAAGACTGCCTCTCTTCTAAAAAAGCCCATTGATTCATTCTAATGCCCCTATCAGTACTCATATATACAAAAATTAACCAAATCCACCCAACCATACCAGGCCCCTTTAACTCTACCTGAAAACAGAACTCATTACCTATCACATTCCTCACTTCAGTGTTCACATCCCACATTACCAATAATCCTCCTCTTGTCCCCTCAGGCTCCACCAAATGCCATCTATTTTCAAACCCCAACTTTCTACAGACAGTCATAGTAAACTTAGGAGATTTTTTAGTCTCAGATAGGAATATAATATTAGGGTGGTGGATTCTTCTTGAATCCTTGATCTGGGAAACTGTACAGGGCCCACCCAGCCCTCTACAGTTCCACACAATGGCCCTCATTGGTCACATTGGGGCCACTCAAGGCTGGCCTTCTCCACCTCTGATTTTCCTTGACATTTTTCCAGTTTTGGTTTTTTGCCTTTAGTCATCTCAGTATCCCCCTCCATGACCTCCTTACCCTTCCAATTCACTTCTCTAAGTCTCTTCTGTGACTGACTATCATCTTTGGCTTGCTCTTCCTCACCCTGTCTCTTCAATCTGCCTGAGGTAGACACTTTTCTCTTCCAAGTGGCTCCTTTAGTAGTCCTAACTTCCCTCTGATCACTACTCATTTGGACATTTCCTTGTTGCTCTCTTTGAAAAGACTCGGCTTCCTTCATATTCAACACATTTGTAGCAGAAACCACCCTGACCATACTGGTTTGATCCTCTTGCTCTGGTTCTTCTTCAATCACAGCAAGGCACAACTGCATCTCTTCACCCCCTTTATTATGTTCCACCTCCTTTTCCCCCTCCAGTATCTCTTGAATCTCTCCTCCTCTACATTCCTCAGTCTCCATATCTGGTCTCTGCATATTTGGTTGAGTGCTAGTCTCCACATTTGATCCAAATTTTGAGTTCTGTTGTGGTCCACTAGTTCTTGCCCCTGAGCTGCCAGAGAAACTATTCCTCCCCCCACCTGACAAGTCATTTGCTTTGATCCACTCCCCATACTGCCCTTCTGCAAGGCTATTATTTTCAATATCTTGAAGCCTTAGTTGACATGTTCTATCCAAATGACCTATTCTGCCGCAGTAGTAGCACAAGTTGACCAACTTCTCATATTTAAAAACAACTCTCACCCTTTGATCACCCAGTTTGACATTTGTGCATCTTGGCATCGGCTCCTTCAGATTAAGGATTACAAGTAATTTAAGATAGCTTCCAAGGTCCCCACCACCTTTGCAGATAGTCACATTTTTAACATTCTTAAACACACCCCCAATTTTCATTCCTACCTCTGTGCACATCCAATTTAAGGGTACATTATAAACCTGGACCCAAATATTCAATTCTTCAAAGCAGACATGGTTCTTAGTAAGTCCTGGCATCCACTCCTGGAGTATGAGATACTGGTTCTCAAATAACCAGTTGTGGCCTGCCGCTACCTTCCTCTTATCCTCGATAGAGCTGAAGATGAACTGGAAAAAATTCGCACTGAGCTCCTTCACTTCCAGTGTTTGTTGAATTCTCCATATGGCTCCCATTGCTCGTTTTATTCCCAGTAGTCCAGCTCGTCGATCTCCCACAACTTTCCCAAATAAACTCCGCCCACACTCTTCTTCACTCGATTTGATATCATCTACCCGGATTTCAATGTCGCCCGCTTCTTTATCCGACAAAGAGAATTTCTGCATTTTCGTCAAAACCTCATCTCCTAGCCCTTCCCCCGAACCAGCTTCCATCACTCCCTACCCGTAACCCTAAAAACAGTTATTGAAAAAACCCGTAGTGCCCAAACAACACACTCGAGAATCAGACAGCCCTCACTCAAGGAAATAAAGATCTCAAAGAGATAATCGCCCGATCTCAAAGAGATAATCGCCCACTCTCAAAGAGAGAATTTTCTATATCACTATTTTATATTATTATTATTATTATTATTATTATTATTATTATTATTATTATTATTATTATTATTATTATTATTATTTTATTAATAATATTTAATAAAACTCAAAAATTATATTTAAATAATGTTGGTATCATTTTAACTCACAAAAGTTGATGCCATGTCATTGTTGCTAAAAGTTATATGTTTTTTTATATTTATTAAATATTATTTTTTATTTTTATTACATATTTATATTGTTAATAAAAATAATATTTTCATTAAATATTTTTTTAATTTTATTACATATCTATATTATTAATAAAAATAATATTTCAATTACATATTTTCAAATTCACTTATCAATTTTTTTTTAAATAATCATTCTTAAAGTTTTGCATAAATTTCATTTATATAGTTTCATTTTCATATTAAGGTAATTTTACTATATATGTTTATTATTTTTTATTATAATTATGTAAAATATAAATTAAAAAATTAATATTTTTGTTCACATAACTATATTATAAAATATTATTTTATTTTATTTCATATTTAGATTAGTAATAAAAATAATATGTAGTGGGTCCTTGTTGAATTCATGTAATTTAGCTTATAGATTGGTACTGTAATTTGATAGCTTGAAGAAGAATAAGGTGATAGGAAGCAGAGGGAGAGAGAGATAACAGAAAGCAGAGAGAAAGATTAATTTTCTTCTTGCATTTTCTTCTCAAATGAGCGCGTAAAATACATGGGTAATGGTCCCCACTATAACAACTTGCATTAGTTCTATTTTTCCCCAAAGTAAATAACTATGGTAAAATAAAAAGGCAAAACTAAAATATTAAATATGACAAATAAACGATCCAGATTTCTTCTGTCAAGCCTTTGATCCAACGCTCGTGATTTCGCCATGTATCGATCCGCTGTCGTCAACAAAACCAAAATCGAATTCTTCATTTACCATTTTATTTCCCAGATCCCCTATTTGCCTGAACCCTAATCTTTTCAATCACACCATTTCCCTCTTCATTTTCCTTGAAATTTTTTGAATTCACTACAATACTGCCCCCTTTTTGAGATCCTTGTCCCCAAGGATTAAACTTTTTGAACTTTCGGCGGAGAAAGGCGTCGTCTTCCCAGGGGTTTGCTCGAGTTCACCTTTTCCACGGTGAACACTGCGGTGGTTAAGAGCTGCTATAGGATGAGCAAGGAATCGGCCATGGCCATCCGTCGGAGGAAACTCAGTAGATGCAACAGCCGGCGGCTTCACACAACTTTTCAAGAGAGAGACGTGAAACACTAGATGAACGCGAGACGTCTCTGGTAAGTCTAAACGGTATGCCACCGCCCTCACTTTAGCTAGAATCTGGAAAGGACCAAAAAATCGTGCAGATAACTTGAGGTTTTTGCGTTTGGCCTCTGAGTTTTGTCGAAAAGGTTGCAGCTTGAGATAGACCCGGTCGCCTACTGCAAATTTCTTGTCACTCCTGCCTTTATATGCATATTGTTTCATTAGGTTTTGTGCTTTGAGTAAATTATCCTTGAGATCTTGCCTTGTATGTTTCCTCTGGGCAAAAAACTCAGTTGCTTCTGAATTTGTAGAAGGTACATATGGATCTAAGGAAAAAAATGGGGGTGGGTAATCGTAGAGAGCCTTAAAAGGTGTGCACCTTAGGCTTGTGTGATAGGTAGTATTATACCAGAATTCTGCTAGAGGTAGCCACTTAGCACAATGTTTAGAGTTATCAAACACCATACTTCTCAAATAATTTTCCATTCATTGGTTCTATCTCTCAGTTTGCCCATCTGATTGAGGATGGTAAGTTGATGAGAGGGCCAATTGTGTACCCATGAGTTTGAATAACTTCTGCCAAAAAGAACTTGTAAAAACCTTGTCTCTATTTGGGATGATATTGAGAGGCTGACCATGTAATTTATAGACTGTGTCCAAAAATAGTTTGGCTACTGTGGTGGTGGCTGTAAAGGGATGAGATAGAGCAATGAAATGGCCATACTTGGTCAGTCTAATTGATTTATTATTATTATTATTATATTATTATTATTATTATTATTATTATTATTATTATTATTATTATTATTATTATTTGATACGTCAAATTGTCTCGAACCGCTGNTATATATATATATATATATATATATAAATATTTGTCGGATTAATTATTTTAATTTTTCCGGTCATCGTATTTTATTTTTCCGAGTGTCGTTTAGTTATCGGATTCATAAGCCGAGCCCCGCGAACTCGCGTTTTCAGTCCAAACCCAAGGCCCGAACCGGCGAGCCGCCTCGCCCAAAACCGAACCCGTTTATCCTCTAAAGGCTTGGAGAGCAAGATATTTATTCTACCCTAAGTCTTTTAATCGTGTAACCCCTCCCTCTCTCCTCTTATCACGCCGCTCTCTCATATCTCACTCTCTCTCTCAATCGCGCAAGAAGAAGAAAAAAAATGTTGCACCTATCTTCTTCTCTCATCTCGTTTTCTCTCACATAAGAGAAGAAAGAACTCTCCCTCGCCACACCCTTCTTCCCCCTCTTGAGCGCCGACAGCCCCGTCACAACCTCAGGCTGCCGCACATCACCCTACGCCCACACGCAAATCGTCGAGTCGCGCAAGAGCTGCAGAGGCGCCTTTTTCGAGCCCTTCGCCCTCTCTTTCGTAGTCTCTCGTGTGGTGAACAATAAGGATGGATGTGGCCCTCTATTTTTATGTGTTTTCATGATATATGCTATGCCTTGGTTGAGTTTTTATTGGAACTTGATGATTTAGAGATGGGTCTATATATTAATTGTTGAATTAGATTGTTATTGATAAGTTATTGATAGATCCGTGATAAATCTTGATCAAACTCGTGAATCCTTGTGAATTTGGACCCTCTTTGATGTGTATAAATGATCTCGAAAGTTTCGTGGATTTTGAAAATCGATTGATGGCCTTTTCTGATTTTTGAATAACATATGTCAAGATTAATCACGATTTCACTATCTCTGTTGTGCCTCTGTTATGACAATAAAGATCCCGTTTCGTGAAAATGTATTCTGCATATGAATTGTAGTTTATCCTGCTATCTTTCAGTGGGTATTGGAATCTTGAAAATCCGATTTAAATTGAGAGAGATATGATTTTTACAAAATAATTGTGCAAGCAGTTTTCTGTAAATCCGGCAGCATGTATATATTACATGTCTGGCATGTTTTTGATGTTTGTATGTTCTCAAACTGAAAATTGGTCTGCATGACAGTTGTAGCCTTACTTCTTGTCTGTCTATTGGTTTTTGAATCATGTCATTTGCAGGTCTGTAGCATGAATTATATGATAATTACTGAGGTGTTGATTGTAACATAAGATGGTTTCTGGCAATTTTTATGAACCAAATGTTTTATGTTTAAACTCGATGATAATGTCTTTATTTGCCATGTGGCCTTCAGAAACGTTGTAGATAATTGAGTTATATGCCATGTGGTTTTTGAATCTCATTAAAAGCATGTCTGTAGCTTCAGTTATCTTCCAATTACGGAAGTTCAGTCAGCTGTATGATTTCAATTGTTGACTGCAACTCTGTTATAAATGTTTAATGAATTATCTCCTAGTAGATGACCTTATCTGTTATTGATGTCTTCATAAGAGTTTTAGAGGCATGTCTTAGGATCTATATGCAACTGGAATAATGTTTATATGACTTATGTGCTGCAACTTGTGTTTATTTCAAAATCGCTCCGCAGGTTAAGTTTCGAAAAACTCATGAAGTGCTTTCGAAAATAAAATTTACTTTTTAATGCATGCTTATATGACTTACATGGGCTAAGTTGAACTAAGTGATGATGGTGTGAATCTTAGATGCCTTAAGTTCGTTAATCCTTGTGTCGGATAGTTATTCATAGGACTATCATAATTATTGTAGGTGTTTGACGAGTCGAGCTCTCTACCTACACGTGATTATCGTGCAATCTTTTACTTCAATCCAGGTGGATTTTATTTTAAATTGCTATGCAGCAAATTGTTGCCTTACGTGTGGTATGAACAATGGATGCATGTGAACCATGTAGCCTTCGATGTGAGCTGTATCGGCCGTCGAACGGTTATCTCCGCAGCTATAGAATGTACTCGTTGGGTAATCTCCTATGAGGATTTACTCCTACTGTCTGGGCATTGATGTAAAGCCCGAGGGGCATTTGATGTGAAGCCCGAGGGGCATGCGATGTAAAGTCCGAGGGGCATTCGCTACCAGCAGTAGTCTATGCGTAGGTGTGCACATGAGACTTGATTTTATGACTTTATGATGGGAGATTGGGATAATTAATTGATTTATATACATGCTGCGACCATACCTGTTTGATTATTGTTGTTTATTGCACAGTGATGAGCACCACGGACTCCAACTGTGCTCATCCCCACTTTTTCTTCGGATGCAGGTTAAGTGAGTGCGGGCACGACGGAGTGGAGCGAGTGGTGGTCGGTCTTTATGACCAGATTACTGTTTGTTGCTTCCGCTATGTTGAACTGATTTATGATGTTATGATTTTATGAACTTGAGAATTTAATGATTTGAAATAATGTTGGGGAGATGCCCCTTTGACACTGTGACTATTTTATGGGAACCCGATTTGGGTGATTTGATGATTTATGATGAAACCCAATTTGGGAGTTGATTTTATGATTGATGTTATTGATGACAATTGAGGTTGGTTTTAAATGAGTAACGCCATAAATGTTTTTGAAATGAGTTCCGAAAATTAAATTGATTTTTCTGAAAAGCCATGGATTTTCGTTAAATCAAAGTGGGACTTACAGATAGGAAGCAGAGGGAGAGAAAGATAACAGAAATGAGAGAGAACGATTAATTTTCTTCTTGCATTTTCTTCTCAAATGAGCACGTTAAATACATGGGTAATGGTCCCCACCATAACAACTTGCATTGGTTCTATTTTTCCCCAAAGTAAATAATTATGGTAAAATAAAAAGGCAAAACTAAAATATTAAATACGACAAATAAACGATCCAGATTTCTCCTTTCGAGCCTTTGATCCAACGCTCGTGATTTCGCCATGTGTCGATCCGCTGTCGTCAACAAAACCAAAATCGAATTCTTCATTTACCATTTCATTTCCCAGATCCCCTTTTTGCCTGAACCATAATCTTTCCAATCCCACCATTTCCCTCTTCATTTTGCTTGAAATTTCCTGAATTCACTACATAATATTTCTATTACATATTTTTTAAACTCACTTATCTATTTTTAAAAATAACTATTATTAAACTTTTTCATAAATGGAATTTATATAGTTTCATTTTATTATTAAGGTAATTTGACTAATGATATTTATTATTTTTTATTATAAGTATGTAAAATATAAATTATAAGAAAATAAATAATAATAATAATGATAATAATAATAACAATAATAATAATAATTTGTTTGTTTACATAACTATATTATAAAATAAAGTTAGTTGGTTCACATCTGTAAGTCAAACTGTGAAGTTAGTTGAGTCTTATATTGAGAAGTTAACTAAAAAGTGAGTCTTAAATTGAGAATAACCTAAATTATGAAGTTAATTTAGGGACTGGACATGAAATTAAATTATGAATTAGAGATTTATTAGCAAAAAGCTGCAAACCCAAAATGAAAAATGAAGAGAGGTGGATAAAATAAAAAAAAATGGTGTATTTTTATTTATTTATTTGTCGACTGGGTGGTATCTCAACATTCATCTAAGGTCTCACCACGAACTCCCACGCCACTCGCCGAGTCACCCCAAAGGGTATGGCCTGACCAGTCCATGGCCCAAACGTGCTACGGGCTCCACATCCAAAGAGGTGAGACTAATCCACCTAAGAGAGTAGGATTGCCTCATCCCCAACTCCCACCATAGTCATTTGGAACACTTTCTCTCTAGCTTCAACAAGGCCTTATCTCTCCACGAGCAACCACGTGCCCGGCCTTATCTCTCCATGAGCAACCACGTGGCCTTACGCCTTGGGGCGAGTATTTATTTATTGCTTATCAAATTATGAACAAATAAAAGGACAAGAAAATAAGATTTATCAATAATATTTATGGAAAATGCTACAGTCCGAATGATTCCCTCATATAAACCTCCTATAAGAATCACCACATCACTTTGCTTAACTACATCTAACGGTTCATATCAAAATTAAAAGATCGTAATTAATTGAGGGAACTATTCTCCGGGGACGGTAGCATTTCCCAATATTTATTCTAAATTTATTTTGTTCTTACTGACAGATTAACAAGATAAAACATAGGAAAATGTTACATGTACATAATAAATATACATAGAATTGTATATAATACTTACATAGGTGGGGTTTACTTAATTTTTTATTTTTTAGTAGGATCACTCAGTGTGACTGTTATGTACACCTTTATGTATAAAACATAAAATTTTGAAGAAAAAAAAAAATCCAATATATCATGTGGAGATGAGGTTTTGCGTAACGTGTGGTACTCACACTTTTCTCTGTTGTCTCTCTTTATTTACTACCTAACTTTGTTGTCCTAATTCATGTCCAGATATTTATAGCTCTTGCTGCTACCCTCCAAGAACCCGAAAGTTACAGCTCCGATATCATTAGAAAAAAAGAGCACTGGATAAACCCCATCATTTCGGAACCTCCTCACAAAAAGATAACCGTTGATAATGAACACGGTGGCAAAGCTTCACCTTCGGCCGCCGCCTGATTATCACCGCCACACCCGCGGCCAATTCCTTAGCCGCCGCCTTATTTGGGACCCTTCGGTTTGCGTCAACGGTCGTGGAAGAATTTGGGCTCGACCATGCATCAAGTCTGAAGAGGAAAAGTGCTGTGTTGAAGTGGAAACGATCAATCGTTTCGAGTCGAGAAAAGGTGTGAATAAATTCGTGGGCCTTGTTAGAAATGCTGTGTGGAAAGTCTCCAAACCCAGCCTCCGATCACAGCCCAATTTTGCAGAGGCGCTCGAAAAGTTGGAACGAACTCTATTTTCTGTAAGTTTGAAATTTGATTCTTGGGCTATACATAGTTGATTAAAATAATGTTCTTGGGGAGTTTGCAAATCTGACCTACATGTTTTTTGTTGTTAGAAAAATGACACGATTCAAGTTGATGCTTTTATTTTATTTTATTTTTTTGTTGAGCTGTGTACAGTTAATTTTAGTTTTCACCACAGGTTGAGGTTTTGGTATGGCTTGGAGTGGAGTGGGTAATTTTAGTCTCCCAAATTGTACTTTATTGAATAGGATATGTAAAATCCCCACACCTTACTCTGCATGAATGTGAAAAAAGTTGCCTTCTTGCTGAGCAGCTCTCGATGCATATTGGGAGGTACATTGTGACGATGTTAAGCACTGGAGTTATTCTGTTGATTGGGTTTCAGTTATCAGGTCTGTTTCTGGCACCTGTTATGGTTTCATCATTTTGAAGAAATGATATGAGATTTGAATTTTTTTTAAAATGGTTTCGTCATTTTTTTTTTCTAGGCGGGGATGATCAGATGAATGCATTAGTTTGGTACAGTTGGCTTGGAGGAATTATTATTGGGACAATGATTGGTTCCAACATGGTGCTAGACGAAGTGAGTCGATCTGGGCCCCGCAATGTTGTTATAACTGGAAGGTATAGTTTTTTTTTTTTTTAAATAAAATTAATAAATGGCACCTGAGAATTAAATGAGAGAATAAGATGAAAACTTGAGGTTCAGTGTTCACTGCAAATAACTAAGGATTTTTCCTGGTTTGGATGTTCCTCTGAGGTTCAAATGAAACTGTAACGGTAACTGCTTAAATTCTATCATGGCGCAAATTAAGTATGGTGTGGTTGAAGCTTATTGATCAGCTTGCAACATTACCTTTCTACTAAAATAGAATCAAGAAAATATATGTTACTTTTACAAGGATTTTTTTTACTAAAACTAGAGGTGATTATGAAATTTACCCACATACTTGGTACAGTACACGAGGACTTGGAAAAGCTTTGGCGCGTGAATTTTTACTTTCAGGTGACAGGGTTGTTGTTACTTCTCGCGAGTAAGCAATTAACTTTATTGAAGTTGGTAATACGCATGTTTTCTATCTCTCTCTCTTTTTTAAGCATTTTTTTTTTTTGTTTGGCTTTGTGGAGACAGCCCTGAATCAGTTGACTTGACCATCAAAGAACTAGCTGAGAATCTGAAGGAAGTCATATTTGCCACAGGTGGTACATCTAAAAAACATTTACGCCATGCAAAAGTAGTGGGAATCTCATGTGATGTCTCTAACCCTGAAGATGTTAGGAAGTTGGCAAATTTTGCTGTCACTTCACTTGGTTCAGTTGATATCTGGGTAAGCAGTTTGCTTTATCGTCATTTTTTTACATTCCATTTCCTCTCATTGCAGTAGTGTTTCAGAGAATTATTTTGGTGTAGCCTTTTCTTCAAATTTCACAATTTTAGTTGTTATTTTCCCAGCCACCCATATTTGTTATCATTTTTCAATTGAGGCACTGCATAATTGAGCTTGAAATTGCCTGTCTGTCAATCATTTATGGTCATTGCATACTTGTTTCCGGTTCAATAGTCAGTTAGCTTGCATGGACTTGTGTCTAATAACTTCTTTTTTTTTTCTTTTTTTCTTTCCGCAGGCATAACTAGGTATAGTTAGCTTGCATGGACTTTTGTTGACAATAACTCTTAAGACATAACTCTTTGTAGTGCATTTCTTGCAACTTATTAGATGTTTAACCATGTTACAGGTGAACAATGCAGGGACAAACAAAGGATTTAGGCCTTTACTACAGTTTAATGATGACGACATACAACAGGTTTGACTCGTAATAAATAAATTTACACTGTCAGTATCAAATTGATGAAATGATGGATACAAGTGTCATATCACCTATTCTTTCTTCGTAGTATTGTACATCACGAGGAAAAATTATAAGACAAGCATCTGTGATCCATTCAACTTGGTCATAGAAAACATATGTACAGAAGTTACAACTTTAATTTTACCACAAATCAATAGGTCACTTATGCAGTTGTTGAATTATCTACAATAGTAAACCTAAGAAAAGATCATATACTAAACTATAGAGAAGGTTGTGGGCACCTCTTATGACTTATGTTTAGGGCTTCGTGTCTTATTATTGCACTGAGTGGTTGTACGTTGAAAATTCGATTACAATGCATGATGAATACTTCACAACCAAGAATCAAATGTTTAAAGCAGAAGTTCAAAAATATTAAAAGCCAAAAAACTAAATCAAATACAGCACTAAACCTTGTAAGACTCATGAAATGCTAAAGCAAGAAAATAAGAAGATTCACAAACATAAATCTAGTTTAGTAGGGAAAAGTCTGCAAAATTAAGAGCTTGATGTGTTCTTTTATCTTTTTCCTTGGTGTATGAATACATTGTCGTACATCAGTTTATATGCACAGAAATCTAATAAGAACTCTATTCATTGAAAACTAAGCTGTCATTCTTGAAGAGCTCTAAACAACTATTGATTTGAATAACTTAACTCGTGTAGCAACTAATTAGAACCAGACATGGAAAAGTCTTATTTATGTGAGAACCAGCTCTGAAAACTGCCAAATTTTTTCAGATACAAAGCTGATAATAACTTGCTTATAGACACTTTTTAGTTTGAGGTAGGGTTCGTTATTCCCTGAAGTCGACTGCTTGGTTTTGTGTGAAAGTAGCAGAACTTTTGATTCCGAGAGAACAACAAAATATGCATTAGTGTCAGTCAATTGTGTAGGGATGGGTAGTGCTATGCAGTCAGATATAATGCTTGAAATTTAATGCCTACACAAATAGCTGAAACCCATTTCATGGAGGAGATGTTACACTTTTATAAACTCTTGGTCTTGAAATCAAGGTGTTGATAATTTAATGTGCGACCTTCTTCTAGTGATAATTTTTTGGATATATGAATTAATACATTTGTTTCACACGAATAGCTAATCTCTGATAAAGGCACAAATAGTCCAAGGTCTTATAACAAGTGTAAACAGCTCCCAAAACGGAAAACATTTTGCAACATTTCTCAAGTTCATATTAATTTCTATTAGAAAAACGAAAAGACTTACATTATCAAACATTCCTTGAAAATGATGAACAGATTGTGTCAACAAATTTGGTTGGGTCGATACTTTGCACTCGTGAAGCATTACACATAATGGGAGGCCAAACAAAGGGTGGCCATATTTTTAACATGGATGGTGCAGGATCTGGGGGGTCTAGCACTCCACTAACTGCTGTGTAAGCTCAATTCTAGCAACTTTTGTTGTAAGGATTAAATTATGTTCGCCTGAGGCTCCACTTTTCCAATATTAAATTCTCATATGCTTTTAAAATATAGGTATGGGTCGACAAAATGTGGTCTTAGGCAGCTTCAGTCGTCTCTTCTGAAGGAGTGTAGGAGATCAAAGGTTGGAGTCCACACTGCCTCACCAGGCATGGTTCTCACTGACTTGCTATTAAGGTACCCTATTAATTTGTTTTGCTTTCTTCTTGGATTTCATATCATAGAGTTTTGGTTGGTGGGAGGATTTTTATGCATTACAAGCAATAAAAAAAAAAAAAAAAAAAACNATAAAAAAAAAAAAAAAAAATACTCGTAGACAAGTATCATAAGCGAAGATTTCATAACAAAATCAAGCATTTGGGTATGCAGACTGGATTTGAGATAGTATGCCATATTATACCATTCATTTGGATGCTTCAGCTAAAAGATTGTTCAAGTTTAACCAAACTACCATTCAAGTAAAAGTTCATTCCACTGTTTTTCTACTTAGAATCTCTATAAAAAAAAGGGGGGGTTTCAATAGCAAGCCTTTGTAGCTTCTTGGGAGACTGATTCATGTCTTGCTAATTTTGGTCTGATTTAACATTAATTGTATCTATTATATCCTAGTATCATTGCTAAAGGGCTGAAGACGAATATCCATTGACCAGATGAGAAAAGCTTCGGACCTCCGTAAAAGATGTTTTGAAACGACTTTATTTTAAATATTTTAGAACGTCTTTTAAGCAGAATGGTTGGCCGCAAAGACTTCAACTGCGTGTTTCTAAAGTTAGATATAACAACTTTTGTGTTCGAAAAACATCTTATAAGATCTTTTATGTAAGCAGTTGTCTAAGAAATATGCTACTTTATATCTTTTTCTTCCCATTCAATAAATTGACAGATTCTTATTTCCTCAAATGGTCGCCTTTTAGGAATAATTAATGCATTTCAGAGTCATTTTCACATCGCGATAGTTGTTTTAGTTCTCTGTTTAATGAATTTATGTGCATTGGTATGTTGATGGCAGTGGTTCGAGTGTACAAAACAAGCAGATGTTTAATATCATTTGTGAGCTCCCTGAGACAGTAGCCAGAACTTTAGTTCCACGAATGAGAGTTGTAAAGGGAAGTGGGAAAGCTATCAACTATTTGACTCCTCCAAGGATATTACTAGCTCTTGTCACTGCATGGCTCAGACGTGGCCGCTGGTTTGATGACAAGGTATATCTATCTATCTATCTATTTATTTGCATGTGTACATTATTTCTATGTAATCTACTCAAATTAACGTAAGACGGTTTCAAACGTGTTTTATAAAACTTCATACTATAAAGGCAAACAATCGTTCTTTAAAAAAATTCCATATACATAATCGACAAAAATATATTTTTGTCAATTAATATAAAATAATTGTTTCAAAGAGTATGAATTTTAGCTCTAAAAGCATGAAACTTTGTCTAGAATGTATGAACATGGCAGACAAAAATTTACTAGATACCCTCTTATAGTACAGTTATCGTATAATCAACGCTAGTTGAGAGTGATGTGTCTTCTTTCAAAAGCTGGCATTTTGGACTAATTAATTATTATAATTATTATTATTATTAAATTTTTTTTAGGGACGAGCACTATATGCTGCTGAGGCGGATAGACTGCGTAATTGGGCTGAAAGTCGAACCCGTTTTTCTTTCACTGATGCAATGGAGATGTATACAGAGAACACCTGGGTTTCTGTGTTTTCACTCTCTGTGGTTTGTGCTTTCATAATCTTATCAAGCACCAATACTACTCTGCCTGGGACATGATGATGCTCTTTCTTTGTCATAGGGTTTAAATTGTTAGCCACTACCCCAATCTTCCTTACTAGATTGACCTTGCTCAAATTGTAATATATTCATTCAGTAATATTATATTGATACAAATTCATTGGCCCTCTATGTTTTACCTTATTACATTATTAACTTTTCATATTTTCTTATGATTGACTCTAATTTTTTTTGAGAGAGATTAATCTTATTATAGGAAGTTCATATAATTTGAAAATTTTCATATTTCATTTTATGTTAGTAACTATGCAATATTGCAGATTGACCCCCATTTGATCTACATTGGATATTTTTTGGTATTTTCAACAATGACAAATGGTTTTTAAATTACATTGACTTCAAAACATTCAAAGGACATCCAACATCAATTCAAGAAGATATTTATTTTCCTGCAACCTATAAAGTTTTTGTTTTGTTCAGTGGAATTTCAGAAATTCAATTTTTAGTCCTTCAGATTGCTTAAACTATGTTACTTTCACTTGTTGGCCTATAAAAATGTTTTCGAAATTCTTAAAAATTATGAACATCATAATGAAACTTTATTTCGGGTTGGTACAACAGGCTTTTGAGAATTACATATTAATCATTTAATTTTGATTTATTTGCAATTCATTTACATGAGGTTCAACCGGTTTCCATTTTTCTAAAATAAGTTTTAATATAATTTAAAATATTTTAATATAAATAAAAAAATTCATGTTTAAATAAAATGGAGATTTAAAATGTAGTTATTAGTTAGAAATGTTTCAAATGTCTAAGTATTTAATTAGTAATATTTTTATATATAAATTTATTACATAAAATAATACATTTATTTAAAAATAATAAAAAATTAAGTATCGGTTTAACCGGTTCACCCACTTCTCCACCAATGAACCATTAAATTAGTAGTTTGGCTGGTTCACTGGTCGATCCAGTTTTAAGAATCTTGTGTATAGAGTATATCTCTCCCTATATATAAATACGGAGTTCTTTTCGAGCCTTGTGTCGATTTTTTGTGCTTCGTAATCTTATTTGTCAATTTATGAGTATTTCGTAATCCTATATGTTACTTGACTTGAAGTTTCTAAGTAAGTGAGTCAAGCAGGTATAGAACTCTTTCAGAGTCGAGAAGAAGGGCAGGGAATTATAGTGGCTCGGAGTGATGTGTGTAGATTTGGACTTTTACTCATACCTTCTAGGAATTTTATAATTATAAAACACTAGGTTAACTTAAACTATAAATATATTTTAAATTTTAATGGCTTTTGTATTTATCATTACTTTTATATTTTCAATATACCAAATTAATCATCTTTTGATGATTTGACCCATATTTATATATATATAGGGAATGGTTCAGATGCGCCCCCTTTTTAAAAGTGAGGACGTGAGACCTGATCTGGTCCGTTCACCACTCATCTAATCTAACGTTCAGAATTAATTTATTACATTAATCAATATTTCGCTGGCGGTACGTCTTCAGAAATCTCTACTTTACTTTCCCTCTCCATTTTCGCACTTGCTCCTTGTTTCTGTTCCATTCTCTTCCATTTTGGATTTCGATTTCGATTTCGCGGGCGGTACGTCTCAATTTCTGTTTTCGTTTTATCCTTCGTAGTCTATTCTCGCAGATTCTCGTCTTAAATTGGTGAGTATTTTTGCTGTTGTTTTTGTTTGTAATAACTTTTTCAATTTTAGGTTTTTCATTCTTTCATTTAATAGATTAAAGTAATAGGTTTTGGTTATTTTTGCTAGGTTAGTTGTCTGATGCTGCTAGGTTAGTTATCTTTGCTGCTAGGTTAGTTGTCTGATGGTGCTAGGTTAGTTGAGTTTTATTGCTAGGTTAGTTACCTGTAGCTGATATGTTGGTTGTCTGATGTTGCTAGCTTAGTTGTCTTTTGTTGCTAGGTTAGTTGTCTGATGCTGCTAGGTTAGTTATCTTTCTAGGTTAGTTGTCTTTTGCGGCTAGGTTAGTTGTCTGATGCTGCTAGGTTAGTGTATGATGTTGCTAGGTTAGTTATCTTTGCTGCTAGGTTAGTTGTCTGATGGTGCTAGGTTAGTTGAGGTTTGTTGCTAGGTTAGTTATCTGTAGCTGATATGTTGGTTGTCTGATGTTGCTAGGTTAGTTGTCTGATGCTGCTAGGTTAGTTATCTTTGCTGCTAGGTTAGTTGTCTGATGGTGCTAGGTTAGTTGAGTTTTATTGCTAGGTTAGTTACCTGTAGCTGATATGTTGGTTGTCTGATGTTGCTAGCTTAGTTGTCTTTTGTTGCTAGGTTAGTTTTCTGATGCTGCTAGGTTAGTTATCTTTGCTGCTAGGTTAGTTGTCTGATGGTGCTAGGTTAGTTGAGTTTTGTTGCTAGGTTAGTTACCTGTAGCTGATATGTTGGTTGTCTGATGTTGCTAGGTTAGTTGTCTTTTGCTGCTAGGTTAGTTGTCTGGTGCTGCTAGGTAGTTGTCTGACTGCTAGATTAGTTGTCTGATGTTGCTCGGTTAGTTATCTTTGCTGCTAGGTTAGTTGTCTGATGCTGCTAGGTTAGTTGAGTTTTGTAGCTAGGTTAGTTACCTGTAGCTGCTATGTTAGTTGTCTGATGTTGCTAGGTTAGTTGTCTTTTGCTGCTAGGTTAGTTGTCTGATGCTGCTAGGTTAGTTCTCTGTAGTTGCTTGGTTAGTTGCAAGTTTACTTTTCTTTTGATGCAAGGTTTGTTATATCTATTTGATATTTTTTTTTTGTAACTCAGTTTAATTTGAACAAATGGAGCCTCAGAGGGATGATGACATTCTTTTGCTGACTGATTCATCTCACAATCCTGTACGTGAAGCTCGTCAACGGCAGTCAGATGCTCAAATTCTTTTCCCAAGGCTCTCAACACGGTCTTCTCCAAAAGTTTTGGTTGAGTCCATTGCTAAATTAAATGATGATCAGAAAAGATCTGTAGAGAAAATGTGGTTTGGATATTTGCTGCATCTTAACATTAAAGAGATTCCAACCAATTTATCTTTCTGGGTGTTGGATAATTTTGACCCAATTAGCTCTGTATTGCGTTGTAGTGAGGGCAAAATCCACATTGAATCTGTTGATGTGGAAAAGGTATTAGGCTTTCCTAGAGGGGATAAGACTATTGAATTAAAGAGGAAATCTGAGTGTTGTGAGTTGTTGGATAATTGAAGGAGTAAGTTTACACAATCTTCTGATAAAATCACTGCTGAAATCGTGAGCAAGGAAATGTTGGAATGTCGTGATGGTGGTGAAATGTTCTGTTGTCATTTTGCTGCTTTGGTGGATGCTCTGATAATTGGATCAATATCTGCTGGTTATGTCAACCCACTTTTCTTCAAGTCCATTAATGACATAACATCTGTATCTGACTTGAATTGGTGTGAATACACTCTTCAAAGTTTGATTTCAAAAAGAATGAAATGGGAAAAGACCAACAAGACTGCTTTTAATGGGCCTCTTCTTTTTCTCGTTGTAAGAATGTAATTTTATATTATTCTTAAACAATTTATATTCTATTTTTTTTATATATATATATGTATAATTTTTTTTTTTTTCCAAAATGCAGGTTTTATACGTTGATCGGCTTGCTTTTGTAAATCATGAGGTTCCAAGGAGTCTGCCCTCCTTTATTGGTTGGAACTGTGACCTGTTGCGCAAGAGATCCAATGCTGAGGCCAAAATTAGACAGATAGTTAATAAATATGCAATTTATTTTGCATATTTTGTAGTTGCATTTCTAAATTCACCGTATAATTTAACATATGCGTGAAAGTATCGCATATTTAGATATTGCATATCTAAATCGAATGTCACATATTTTATGATTTTGCGACGTATTTTCGCCTAGTTTACGACTTGCATATCTAAATCTATTACGTTGAATTAATTAACGATTATGCGTAACATATTTCCATATTCATGAATCGTATATCCAAATTGAAGGACGCCTAATTCTGGACTATCAACCATTTTTTTGCCGATCCATATCATGAATCGCATATACGCCAAAAATATTTTACATAATTTATGCACCGTTATTATTTTTCACGTAAAAAATGAAAAAACAACTTAGACATATTCAATATCAACATAGCAAAATTTATCAATATGCAGACATATTTCTTATATGATTCGAATAGTTATGTATCGCATTGATCGACTTTTTTTTTTTTAACGTAAATTAAGCATGCAAGATGTGGATTTTTTTTGTTAGATTTGCTCCTTATCCATCTCATAAAGATGTTATGGCAATTTTATTTTTCTTGTGATATTATGGCAATATGCTCTCATCAAGATATTCTTAGCCATATGCTTCGTCCCGCCCCGCCCCGCCCCCTCTATTTGACCAACAATTAAATGATGCTTAAAATAACACAGTCTTCAAAATTATTACTTCCTCCTATTTTTATTATTTGTCATTTTAGCTTAATTGATCATTTGTTAAATAAATGTCATTTTGGCTATTTTGTACATATTTTTTCATTATTACTCTCATCTAACTAATAAATACACTACGTCTTTTCATATTCACTCTCCATCTTTTCTCAAAACATCCATCTCTATCCTCATTAATGAGGGTTATTATTGGCAAAAAAAATATTCTTAATTACTGTGCAACTTCTCAAAACGACATTTATTAAAAATAGGAGGGAGTATAAAAGAATTCTACTGCTTAAAATAGGAGAAAATCCTTTATGGCAATATGCACTCATCAAGATATTCTTGGCCACATGCTTCTCCACCCCATTCAATCCCCCCTCCCCCCCTTTTTTTTTATTTGTCCAACAATTAAATGTTGCTTAACATAACAAAGTCTTCAAAATTATTATAAAAGAATTATACTGGTTAAAATAGGAGAAAAATCTTTACTATTCCAGTATATCGAATTGCTTTTTATTTTTTTATTGTTTTTCTTATATGTATTCTAATATGATGTGCAAATTTTTTATATATAACAGCAATGTCAGATTGGATATAATGGATTTCGTCCACGACTATTACAAAACTTCCTCAGTTGCAAGGATGTATGAAAGCATCATTGACCTCGTCCCGCATCCGGATGAATGGAAGTCGCCCCCATAAATTAAGAATAAAGGTAACTCTGTCAATCAATCCCAAACAAGCAGGACGACCACACATGCAACGCTATTCTGCTGGAGAAGGATCATCATGTCGAGAACGATGCCAGCAGAGGTGCTCTCGGTGCGGGGTCACCGGCCATAACAAGGCGAAGCAGCCTCGGTTCGATGGTGCTGAAGACTTCTAAACAAATGAAGGTGAAAATGCACAAGCTCCATAAACAAAATCGACAGGCCCAATGAGACGTCATACATGTAAGCAAACAGGTCACAATTCAAAATCTTTTCCATCACGTCCATTACATGACATTTTAGATGAAGATGAAGACGTTATGTAATGTAATGTGGATGCGTACCTTATTGGAGTTTTTAATTGTAAAAGCAACTTAAACGTCGAATTGAGAATAAAGTGAGATAAAAATAGCATAATATTTAATAGAAATGCGAACACTATGTGATATTTCGCATAGTGATCGCACAACGGAACTAAAAATAAAATAAAATAGACGAATCCACAAACAAAACAATATGTGAGTTATGCGAAGCCAAGAGTAATCGTATTTTTTATGCACTTCTGCGTTGATTATGTGGTTTGCATATCATGTCACATGTTAATTGCACAACTGTATTGATTACACCATTTGGATATCATATATCAATATCCCAAATTCCCAATTCAACATAGTTCAACAAACCGAGTGTCTATCATACTGATTAATCAAGATTATGGGGTTTACACGTATTTTAATCGTACAAATGCATTGATTACACACTATTCTGATATCATGTATCAATATCCCAATTCAACAAAGTTCAACAAACGAGGTGTCTATCATATCAACAGTAATGTCTTAAGAAAGATCACGTTTCAAAAATTCAATTTTCCGTTTCGAATAAGATCGTTCTATCTTTTACATAGACTCAACTCCTTTACAATCTAATAAGACCATTCTAATTTTTACATCAAGTCACCTACTTTACAATCAAAACATACACCGGCACAAATGAATTACACTTTCAAAGAGATTTCATGATCCTATATTTCTTGAAAATCTCTTTATAAAACGCTAGATAATTGCACTTCACAACGCTCAACTCCTTAACAATCTAATAAGATCGTTTTAATTTTTATATTGACTCAACTACTATACAATCAAAACATACATCGACACAAATGAATTACACTTCAAAGAGACTACATGATCTTATATTCTTTGAAAATATCTTTATAAAATGCTGGATAATTGCACGTGACAACGTTAAAAATGTTGAAGTGCTTTTGAATAAAATACTGGAGAATTCCCTGTCACTTTAGCTTTTAATGCTCAGAAGTCCATCACATTTTGAGATCCTTGTTCCCTTGGAGAACAACGAGACACACATTTTCTTTCAAGAAGCAATAAAGACTGGCTTCTGCGTCCCATCAAGCCATTGTCCCTTGGAGACTGAGATTAATGCATGTTATCCCTCGCCATCGTAGCAGACTCCACCACAGTTCGACATACAAAGAGAAGACTCCATGAGTTGACAGCCCTTTTGAGACGACTTTGACATATAACTCTCTTTACGACGGTAAGTATCTCCGATTGTCCTATTTGGAAGAGACGACTGAGACAAATTCTTTCCGGAAGGGCAAATTATAAGCCCTAGAAAAAAAGAATGAAGTAAGAAGGATGATGGATAGCCCTATAGCAAAATTTTAAACACAGGTTAATCGAAAGCCCTATTTATTGATAAATACTAGAGCCCTAGCGAATTCAAGCCCTATTAATCTTTACAAATGTTGTCAGCAAGACTTATCAATGCGTATCCTCGAGAAGATATCCTCATTGGTACAAATGTCATTGTTTATTAATGTGCTGACACTGAGGATACCTTTCAGAAAATAGGCGACTCTTCACACGCCAAACAAAGTGCGCTTATAGAAGAGTCGAAAAGACGAAACCTTTATTAGCAGAACTGTGAACAAAGTGTGATAAATTGCATAGTGTCCGTATAAAGGAATTACATAACTTAAATTATGCGTATCCCGAAGAACTCGTGCCAATGTTATTTAATGCGCAAAAGCTAAGGAGACATTTCAGATGGAAAAGAGACGACTCTTCACATGCCAAACGAAGTGCGTTGAGAAGAGTCAAAGAGATGCAACCTTATATTCCTAGAACTGCGAACAAAGTGCGATAAATCACATAGTATTTTGTAGAACTTCAGATACTTTTGGGGTATACTGTAAAAGCTCGGCTTTCAGTTTCTGATAATACCATTTTAAATGAGAATACACGTTTTAGTCAAGTGCATGTTTGCAATTAAGTTATTTATGCGAACATTGTTCCTTTACTTTACATAGTAGATAATATGGTTCCGGGTGTGGAACAGTATGATCATATTATCTGTTCCTTATAAAATATAAATGATGATTCACAGTCTAGACGGGAATTGAACTCCTTAGTCGTGAAATATTGTAGTGTGAATCTTGGAATTAGTTGATCTTAGACTAATGGATTACACAAGTACATCTCGCATGTATTGAACGACCCACAGGAGGATAAGATTATTTTATACTGACCACGTAAATGATATAGACCTCATTATTTGCTGCATATTCTTAACATGTAAGACAATGTACGAGCATATGTAGTCGGCACTTACTTATTTGATTTATCAAGAGTGAGACTTATTCTGATAGGTCGACATACTCGATATTTTGGTACGTAATGTCGCCTGCATGATGTTCTATCAATATTGTTTACAATCATTGTATCTCGAGAAAGTTCTGGTTGATGACGTCCCCGAAGTGAGCTCAAGAATGATTGTTATGTGAAGCACTTATGATTGATTAATGAATGAGTTGATTTGGTAACAAGCATGTGTACTTTGGAGTATTTTTTGGATATTTTTTTTCTTCCCAAGTGATTGCAGCTTAGATTTTTTTCATTGGGTGTGACGACTTACGGCCGAGCCTTTAGGAGCTCGGGTGCAATTCATTATGTGTGATGGGTTAAGGCCGAGCTCTTCAGAATTTGGGTGTTGTTCATGGTGGTGACGGCATAAGGCCTTGCTCTTAGAAGCTCGGGTGTTTTTCATGGTGTGACGGCTTAAGGTCGAGCTCTTCGATGTTCGGGTGCTGTTCATGGTATGACGGCTTAAGACTAAGCTCTTTGGAGTTCCGGTGTTGTTCATTGTGTGACGGCTTAAGGCCGAACTCTTCGTTTGGATATTGTTCGTGGTTGTGACGGCTTAAGGCCAAGCTCTTAGGAGCTCGAGTGATGTTCACGGTGATGATGGCTTAAGGTCAAGCTCTTAGGAGCTCGGGTGCTGTTCATGGTGGTGATGGCTTAAGGTCGAGCTCTTTGGAGTTCGGGTGTTGTTCATGGTGGTGACGGCTTAAGATCGAGCTCTTACGAGCTCGGGTGCTGTTCATGGTGGTGACGGCTTAAGACAGAGTTCTTCAGAGTTTGGGTGTTGTTTATGGTGGTGACATCTTAAGGTCGAGCTCTTAGGTGCTCAGGTGCTGTTCATTCGGTGTGTTGGCTTAAGGTCGAGCTCCTTGGAGCTCGGGTGTTGTTCATGGTGTGTGACAGATTAAGGCCGAGCTCTTAGGAGCTCGGGTGTTGTTCATTTGGTGTGACAGCTTAAGGGCGAGCTCTTAGGAGCTTAAGTGCTTTTCCTATGGTTTGAAGGCTTAAGCCAAGCTTTTGGGAAAATTAAAAGTTTTTGGATGACAAATTAGTGCAAGCTGATCTCTTAGTAGCTCGAATGTAGTTCATAAGATACAATGTTTTTTGACCGAGCTCATGTGAGTAATGGATTTCAATTTAACTATGATGCGAGCTATTCAAACATAGTTTAAATTATCAAGTGGAAAGTAACGAGAGCTAAAAATGAGCTGCGTAGTCTTGTCACGAACAGTTTACCAATGAAAAGAAAGGACCAAAAAGTAGACCGCATACAACCATATAAACAAACATACCATAATATTCTTGCAAAAGAGATAATACATAAAAGCGGTACAAGGATAACAGTCATAATGTTTGCAAAATAATATTACAAAAACAACATCATCTAACTAGGGAAAACATATCTTGGGGAAGCAGATTGCTCATCTTGGCCCTTTTCGGCAGAATTAACACGAATTCGACATACAATCGAGTCATGAAACCCGGTCTTCCGCTTCGTTCTTTGAGTCTCACTTTGCTCCCCTTGACCCTCGCCCTCCTTGCCGGGACTACCCTCATCCTCCTCAGCAACATCAACATCACTTCCGAGCTCGAGCTTCTGCAGGGTAGCCTGAAGAGCTGACTCCCACCAAAGGATATCCATGGGCATCTCAGGGTTGCTCGACCACCCATTAGGATCGGGCAAGTTGGCTTTCAGAGAAGCCTCGTCAAGCTTGTTCGTGCTCCCGCTTTCCTGCCTGCTCAAGGGCCCTCGAAGCACCTAACAATATGTATTGTCGAGCTGCGGAGAGGAGATTCGAGAGGAAGGGCATTCAATTGTGGTACATCGCTAGCAGCTCATTGTGATAGGTATCAAGAAATCAAGCTCCAGAGTGGAAGACCAGGAAGCTCTCTCTAGTCTCATTTCGAGCTGCTTCCACTTTAGCAGCGGCTTCTTGGGCAAACACTTCAAGCTCGGCCCGATTAGTGTCGGTTTGGTTCTGGAGGAGAGCAGCTTGAGAAGCAGGGCCTCAAGAGACTTGTATGACTCAGTAATCCGAGCTACCTCAACTTTGGCTGAGTTCAGCTCGGCCTGAAGAACTCCAGCCCTAGAGGTCTCCATCTCCAACTTATGGTGCTCGGCGATAAAAGGAGCTTCCCCCTTGATGTCCTTGTCGAGCAACCCGACAAGACCAAAGTTGAACTATATACAATATATGCAAATAATCAAACAAGAATGGAGAGCTCGGTACAGGAAGAAACATAGAAGGTAGGTGAGAAATTCACAATACCGCTGCCAAATGCCGCATACAGAATTTAGCTCACAACTTGTTATCGCTGTTCTAGCGATCAACCTCATTTCCAGGATAGATAGAGATCAGGTAAGGGGATTGGACAGAAGGATCCTTGTGGGTGGCAAAGGTAGTGGGTTGTTGGATCGAGCTACAATGCGGCTCAGAGGCGTGAGTCTTCTGGACCAACGAGCCACCGGTTTCGGTTGTTTTACTCTAGCGGGAGCCCGACAGAATATTCTTCAGCAGGTCATTGTTAGACCTAACGACCAGGGAGTGGGGTTGCTCGGACCACCTGCAGCCGATGAGCTCGGGCGAGTATGAGAATCTCTCTTCTTCTTCGGTTGGGACGGGCTGGTGGACACAGCGCCAGACATGAATTTATCTGCAAAAAGAATTATTGATATTGATTTATTGCTCGGCGATAAAATTCAGAAAGGTCGTACATAAGAAAAAGATCAACAGTGGATATACCTAAATCAAAGGGGGGGGACCTGCTTATAGGTCAGGCCATAATACGGGTGGAGCTCGGCAGGGGAAGTGAGTTTCCCTATGTGGTAGGGAACCTTGTTCCAGTCGGCGATCAGCTCATCAAAACGAGCTATGTTTTTTGGCTTCAGTTTTTGTCCTGGCGCCTTCTTGAGCCACTCCGAGCTGAAATCAACGGTACCTACAGGGGGTTTGAAGAATAATCAAGATTTCCAATGTGTGAATTTGGTATAGAGGTGCTTAAGGTACTCAGCTCGGTTACAAGCACTTAGGTTAAATGACCCTCTCTGTTTCTCGAGGCCATAACAGTAAAAGAAAAAGTGAAGATCTAGGGCCTGAAAACGGTGGCGGTTTAGAATAGTATAACCTATTAATATACGGATAGAGTTAGGACTAAGCTGGTTGGTATGAAACCTATACAGCTCGGCAAAAGAAAGTAAATCAGGACGAATGGAAAAACGGAGACCACTGTCCACCTGGTCGACAAGAAAAGTATAAAAGTCGGGAGGAGGTTGGATGTGCAAGTTGCCTAAAGAAGGAGCTTGGAACACCCAATCAGGGGGAAGCTTGAACATCCTCGTGAAAGCTATTATTTAGTTCCTCGGCAAAGAAAAAAGGGTTAGCTCGGGCTAGTACCACATCATCAGAAGCTTCATTTACATCAAGGTTGGTAGATTGGTCGGCATCTATTGTTACAAGGACTTGACGAGCACGTAGCTCAGATTGAGAAAGGGTAATAGCCTTGGGTAGATTACATGGCAACTCGGAGGATTTAGTATCTACGATCTGACTTAGGGTGTCCTAAGGAATATCTCCATCGACTTCATCAATAAGATGTAAGGTTGATCTTAGGGGTTGAGCTCTAATAGGTGTGGGGATGATAGCTAGGGATTTATGGGAGGAAGAAGAGCTCGAACTAGGATTAGAAGGGTCGGAAGGCGAGGAGTCGGCTACGAAGCTAAGAGAATCAGGAGGGGTATATATATATTAATGCTTAAAATACAGTCACCAGAAAAGATAAAGAAAAAAGAAGGAAAGATGCAACTCAGAATATATATATATATATATATATATATATATATATAGAAGAAGAGAAAAGATAAAAGTAAGAAGGAGAGAACACTTACCTAAATCGTCGGGAGGTAGCCAGAATATAAAGTCGCCGGAGAAAGAGAGGACGTGCACCGAAGAATAGCAGGAGAGGTTGTTCGCAAAATATTTTCACTATCCGCAAGTGTACGGTGTAGCTATAGTAAGCAGCGAGCAAGGTGGTATTCCGCAGAGATTGTTGTTAAAATAATCAAGTACCAACATATTGACGATTAAATATTATTTAGACTAACTCAAATCTGAATGGTGATTTTATTCTAACCAATGAATGATTGCAAAATAAATTCTAACACTAATGAAAGCTTGTTCTAAGATAAATCAAGAATGAGAAAATAGATTCTCGGCTATGCTTTCCTTGGGATTATTCTAGCAAAGATTTCTTATTCATTCAAACCATATTTAATTCTACCAATCGTAGGGATAATCACTAAATTAATTTACACATTTTTCTCGAACAAGTTGAATCGTAGATATTAATTGTTATCTCTCTCCTCTCGGTCTCAAGATGAACAATTAACTCTCATAAGCTCCTAAGATTCTAGTTCCCTCGCAAGATTCTATCAACCTCTCGGTCTGTTTAGTCTCATACGTTATTAATTCTAGTAATCAACTATCTCCTTTTAGTCTCAAGTAATCACAAATATGCATAAATACGGGCCCTATATTCACACAATTCATATAAGAACAAGAAATTGATAAACAAATGATAAACCGGAATGAATAAACAAAATTACTTCATAAAATAATCCGAGTACTCACAAATCCTAGAATCCCTAAAAGGTTTAGCTACTAAACATATTCTCAAAACTCAAAATAAGCTACTAAACATATTCTCAAAACTCAAAATAAATAAATCCATGAGTTCAATGAAGAAGAAAAAGAGAAAAGAATGAAGAATTATTGTCGCCGTTAGTTCCCAAATCTTCAATCTTGACTTCCTCGAATCCCTCGTGTGTTTCGTGCTTTCTCTAGGCCTCCAATCGTGTCAAAAGTCCCAAAATCGAGTTCTCCAAGTCTCTTTTATATTGTAGGGAAATTATGAGTCCAAAAAGGAAAGAAATCGCATAAGAATCCTAGTTCCCGCTGGTGTGTCTGCGTGTCACACGACTCGTGTCACTAACCCACACAAGTCGTGTGGCTATTCTCCAGTTTACGGCAAACTCCCAGACACACACGACCGGGTCACACGACCCGTGTGAGTCCACACGACTCGTGTCACATTTTCACACGACCCGTGTGAGGTCACACGAGCCGTGTCACACATCACACGACTTGTGTGAAAATGTCGTAACGAAACGTCCCTTTTTCCTCATCCACACGACTCATGTCACTGACCCACACGAGTAGTGTGCCTCAACTACACCTAGTTTTCGTCGTTTTTCATCCTGACTCCATCTTTAACGCTTTTTCGGGCATATTTCCAACAAAACTAACGACAAAAAGTACTTTTATCATAGATTAATAAATAAGACATAATGGTGCACAATCGAACGATAAACACGGCCAAATATCATAATATATCAGTCATAATGAATGTAAATATGACGAATGTCAGCTCCCTCAAACTTAAACCCTTGTTCGTCCCCGAACAAGAATATGAAAATCGAAACTCAAGCATAATGAGTGATATCAAACTAGAAAAGCTTCAAGTCATTTAATGCAACCAAGAAAAATTCAAACGATCATAATTATCATGCCTTGACTACTATCTTGTTTATCTACCTTTAATCAACGAACCCTCAAATAGGAAAAATATAAGTGTCTCACTCACATGTCATCAATATATATGAGAGAAGGATACGCTCAAGTCAATTTAAACACCCGGTTAACTATATGTTTGTCAATCATCTAAAACTCTACTTCAAACACAACTAATAATCATGAGCTTTAAATCAAAAGGTCTTTTCAAGTTGTAACGTAGGCTATTTGGTCAAGGGTAAGATATGCATATGTTAAGTGGCTCAAATAAACAATCATACCATACGAGTAAAGACGACTCGACTGCTCTGCTACTCCTCCCTAATCAACATAAAGAGTTTCTTTTATCCCAAAACCAAAATAATCCATTCACACCTCATAAGTGCTCACAGGAAATTGCAAATGCAGTACTTGATCATTCTTTTTTTCTTTTTATTTTTCTTTTCTCGTTTTCTTTTTCTTTTTTTTTTTTTTT